GTTCACTTTTCTCCATTCAATTTAAGTTCATTGAATATAGTGAAAGAAACTTCGAGAATTTTCAAGATTACTTTTTAATGCAGCTTCACCACATTAAATCCAGACAAATTAAGCTTAATTTGTTTCACTAATTAATACAAATTAAAAGAAATTTTTACTTGAAATAATCGCAAGAATATTTTCCAACGAATGGTGAGCTCGAAAGAAGAGGACACGGGTATGTATCTGTGTTGCGGTTTGTTTGCTTCGTATTGCGTCTGTTTACAGCAGCAATACTTTGACATAAAATAGTACTCAGCAATTTTAATTTGAAACTGAGCTGCAAGATGCTTTCAACGAAAAGTGAAATACAAAATAAAATACCAGAGCACAACGAAAAATGCACACGCATTAACCATAAAGCCCCGCCAAATCCTTAAGAATCTTTAAGGCGAGCGCTTGTAAAGCGAAACTTCGATACTCCGTTGCGAAAGAATGGAATCTGCACTTGCAGTAGCAATTTCGCACTGTACAAATGTGACAGCAATTGGAAAATGTTGCAAATAAATATCAAGTGCAACCTCAAAAAAGAGGAGAAAAATAAATTTAAATTGGTTGGACGCAAAACTTTGCCCGGAACAACGTCGACAGTGTCTAGACGCTTTTAAACTTAACAGTCACGCAGTGCCAAATTCACGTACTCTCTAATGTTTCGAATAACGTTGAAAATAGGAATAAAGTGGAGGAGACTTTGTGGGTGACGTGAACTAGCAGCTTGTTGCCTTCGGAAGATTTTTTTCTTGACTCTGCGGAAAAGAGTTCTTACCAAGACTTTACAGAGCAAGAGAAAGTTTTCATATATTAGAAATATATAAAGAATCATACAGCAAACGAATAGACATTGTATTTTATGCAAATTTATTATTATACGTTATAGTGTTAATAATAACATCATATATTACGTATGTGCTTTATTAAATTATATGTGAAAGTAAAGTATTTTTTATAATCTCAACCAATTTATATTTATTATAATAAGCATACTCTTGTGATGCCTTAAGTTAAGCTCCTCCGCAAACTTAAGTTTAATACTAACTAAACGGATTTAAATAGAAGAGTCATTCATCCACTCTTAGAATAGACCTATGACTTGTTCTTTAATGAAGTAGAAAATTTACTAGTATCTTTACTTCTGTCGCTAGGTGCGTCTCTTCGAAGAACTTCGAAATATGAATCCATTTTTTTGTAAAACCCTATTTTAACCATAAAGTATAATAGAACAGATATTGGCAAATATTCCATGCATTGCTTGAATTCTTTTAAACGCATATCAAGAATTATTGGTATGACCATCCATTTTTCTGACTAAAATAATTCAGCTTTATGAGCTTTATGTACATTTGAATTTCTGATATTTTAAAGAATTTTAAATATTTTATTATTAAATTGGGAATTTCAACAAGAGACGGTTCGATTCAATATTGATTGATTTCAAAACACTGGAATTGCAACAATAAAAAAAATGGGACGGATAATAGGATGATTAGAAGAAGTGGATAGAAAAGGCTTATGCCATTGAGCAGTGGATGTGATTTAAATTGTTCGAAAATATTATCTATCTTTCATGAAAACCGATTTGTTGAAAATAATTTTATACATTATGAGTGATATATTTAAAATAAAATAAATCTCAAAGATGAAATATTCTAAATTAAAGTTGTTGTTAAAATTGAGTTGAACTGTAACTATCAGAAACATAACATTAAGAAAAGTCGATAGTTAAGTTATGGCACTTATAACATATACAATACATGTTAAAATTCTTTTCGGTGATGTTATTTGTGTGTACCGTCGATGGAGAAATTCTCATCTGCCAATATACATATAAAGGTGGAAATCAAAGTAGAAATCTCAAGAGTGCCGAACAATTAATAATAGGTGCTTAATCGTTTCTTCCACGCCTGCATCTTTATAGCTTTTTGAAAAGTGTCCACCTCTCCAACAGCAGTATGTTAGGGCAGGTATCATATATGTGGCAGGTTCGTTTTATATACTAACCATTTTCTGCTTTTAAATTTTTTGTTTCTGTTATCTAGAAAACTAGTTACATTTATGCATTATCAGAATGGTATGAAATTGAAATTATATATATAACATATATTTAATGTATAACTTAACTCTCTGATAACCCTATGGTGGTTCCAAAACGAAATAAGTAAGTGACAACCTACATATGATCGGCAATTTTTCAATTATCTATTGATATTGTTATTATTATAATTCTATAGGCTATTATTATATTTCCATAATAGACAAAAAGTATATACAGATAGTGAAAAATTATGTACATAGTAATAAAGGAACAGTTAATATAAATATATATATATATATATATATATATATAATTATTTTATGGTAGGGTTATGTGGCACATATTAATAATAATAATAATATTTCTAGCGGTCAGTGACCACTGAGTCTTGGTACTGCCGATGGTACCTGAGGGTGTTGATGAGATCACAGAACATATTGCCACTTAGGAAATGGATGTGAGAGTTTACTGTACTTACTTAAGATGTTGAATATGGGTTTAAGCAGTAAGAACGATATGGCAGCAATATACTGAAAGCGTGAAATTTGCAGCAACAAAAATGGGCATGGTTTTAAAATGGCGACAGAGCTCCAGTCTCAAAGCTTCAGTCTATTGAGGACAACTAGTGACTGGAGGTTTGGACACCAAAATAAGGTTGAATGAAATCTAATAGTTCACTTGCTTCTATAAATAGAATTATAGAATTGTTAATATTGTGTTTATATTATTATTTTCACAAGTACTTCAAATGGAATTGAATTATTATATAAACCATTTCATAACCAACTTATTTTGAAGAAATTTATCCATTCAGGGAATAAAGACTAAGACTATATATAGTGAAAATAGGAGTATAGGTGAAAATTCGTTAAATACAATTTAATTTAAGTAACATTTTAAAGTACATCAACATCTACTATACACTTACAGACAAGAGAACTGTCATTCAGGATATTTTAAATTTGACTACACATTTTAATTAGTACCAAGAAGAGTCATGTACTCACGAAACTTCTAATGGTCTTGCCACACTATTGTGTAACTACAATAAATTAGCAACAACCAAAAACTACTAACATTTACAACGAAATATATGGAACGTCCTCGAAAATATTTACTGGGAGAATTCCACTAATTCCATAACACCACCACAACTATTACCAGCAAGACAAGCACTACTTTTGCTCTGCGACCGCAATGCAAGCGACTAGGCAACCAAGACCGGAGTAAAACGCGCCATTTTAACCCAACTAAGTGACAGGTTAAATTAAAACGTCACATAAATCTTGGCTAAAATTTTCATTAAAATGCTTAGAAGGCAGAAATGTGTTCGGTACTTCCAAAAATGCTTAAATTTTCTTGCACTTAAATTAAATTGTATCAAAGCACAATTCCTTTATACTATTTTGTGAGGTTATTATGTCCTCGAGGCAAATTGGAAAGTGTCTTAAACGATTTCACTCCTTTGAATGATTTAAATCCTGCTTTATTAAGAAATTGCACCGTAAATTCTTGAAGTGATGTGAAAAGAAAATAAAATGAAAAAGAAGAAAACATCTACTAAAAGGAATGGAAAATAAAATCAAAACAAAAATAAAATAACAACTAAAGTAAAATGGACAAAAATAATATAAATCGAATAATAAAAAAATCTTAAATAAAATAGTATAAACTTGTTTGAAACAAATTAGTAAAATAAAGTAAAATTAAATTAAAAAAATATAAACTTAAAAAACTCGAAATACTTAAAAAAAAATAACAGAATAAATTATTAATGGAAAAATCTAACTTCAAAGATATAGCGCTTTTTGAACATATATTTTGTTAGCTCAGAGATGGATGAATGAGAGTTGAAATATCTGTCATACTTTTTATTATTGTTAGGGGATATGGCACTGCGACCGTCGGGTCTATTGTGCCCCCTTCTGGACTTAGAGTAGGTCTTTAAGCCCTGTTGCATCAATAGAAAGTAGTATAGAACCTACTTTACAGAGTTTTATTGCCTCTTCCGTAAGAATACACATTCCTAGTAGCCTATTTCGCATGTGCATTAGCGCACGCAGGGCATCTGTCATACTTGCACCAAACACATATTTCGTTTTAGCCTCGCCGACAACAGGTTTTGCCTACTTTGTTTGGAAGGCTATGATACTATTAACCAGGTGAAATTCTCTGTCTTGTCCTCTCGAAGAGTTAAAGTACTATCACATCCACTATAAAATACTATAATATCAACACTTTCTTCTTTTTCTTCTTCTCTATTCCAGTACATTCCCAGGGGAACATTGGGCCATATCAACTCTTTATTAATTCTTTACCTCTTCCAAACATTCTTTGGATTCTTTAAAAGATTATTAATGGAATGAGATCTATAGTATTATAGAAATGTTCAAAGTGCTGTGTTTCTTGCTACAAAACATTCCTAAAAAGTGATTTTAGTTCGTAACGTTCGACGCTTCCATTCACTGACAAAAACGAAAACATATATCATCTGGAAAGTCTTTTCTGTTACTAACCAACCACATAAGTACTATTGAAAATCTGTGTAATTTAAAATGGACTATACATAATACGAATAATGACGAACTAATACTTTATATATATATAAATATATCTAGTATACTTTTATATATATGGTATATATTTTTAAACTGCAAGGTGTAGATACTTAGGAACACCATTCTTTGCTCTTGTATCTTTTTCTACTAAATATATATGTATATATATATATGTGTGTGTGTGTTTTTGTGTGTAATAATAATATAATAATAATAATATAATAACTTTGAAATGAAATTAATAATAACACTTTACACTTTTATAATAAAGTTTTCCAGAAATATCACTTACAACTTCGGTGAGTAATTTAATTACCTGACACACGCATAAACCATTTATGTAAATTACTTGTCAAATGTTTGCAACTTACCTTGGAAAATATAAACGCACTATTTCGCCTATTCGTCCTTTAATGTGATAACTGCATGATGTGTTCGGTGGATACCAGTGGGCAATACTCAGGAAAATGCCTTCACTCGCGCTACTGTCCTTAAGTGAATCGGAACTAAGCAGCCAATCGCAAATGCCATGCTTTATGCCTGCCGTTTCGACATGTCCTGGCCAGTTGCCAACATTGAAATGAAATCCTGTGTTTAGCAATGGACCCGCCGGTGATGTTACAAATTCGACATACATATACTGTGAGGTACCTATATGGTGTATAGCATAAACAAGAGAGATAAGTGAGTTGCGGGAGGAGTAAAGTAGATAAAGTAGAACAGCGCATGTTGGAGTGTGCAACAAACAAATTTGATCAATTTCAGAACATTTAATAAATATTAATTGCATAAACAGCAAATGTACACTTCAACAGATTAAATTGTACCTCCATTAAATAAAGTCACATATATACTAAAGTATACATAAATATGTACATCTACACAAATACTTACACACAAAAAAAAAAAACAACACCAAACACGTATGCAAATTAAATTGCATATGCACTTATATGCTGCGGGATGGACTTGATTAAAAGGATATTATGGGGTATGGCTTTAGATGCCTTTAATGGCTACATTGTATGCATATTAAAGTTATGAACTGGCAGCGATGGTGGACTGACTGCGGTAGTGGTACAGCGGTAGTGTGTTAGTGATATGATAGAGGTCCTATATGAATGCAAATGTGCAGCGGCACTAAGCGCGCTCAGAGCCAACAAAGTCATTTGTTATGCAATTTGAAAATGTGACATGTCGACAGGATGTTCAAGCATAAACGATTCAAGTGGCTGTGTATAGCACTGGCTGCAAGCAAACTCGAAACTGTAGGACTGTGACTGTGTGATTATGACTACGAAAATGGTGTATTCGTATGTGAATGGGTATGAGTATTCGAGTATTCGATATTTGGCCTTTACTGGCCGCAAGTCGCAATCAGATAGTGTACTCGTATATGACTTTAACGCCACTGCAAAATGTTACTGTCAATGCGTTTTTATTGTGTGTATTTCTTTGTTGCATTTGACACATCGTTCCATGTATTATCGCACTGCAACAATGCGGCATATGTGAAATTGAATTTGTCTGAAATTCAATGAAATTTGACGGTAATTGCTGAACATTAAATGCCCTAAGTTTTATCTGACTGCATGCAAAGCAATTTTTGGCAGAATTCTTTATTGCACATTATGCGAAACTGTTTAAAATTATAAAATTTTTCACTTACCAATTATGCTGAATGGAAATTTGCCAAGGCCACAAAATTTTCCAATAAGTGGCGAATGCTCATCACGACCATCGTACACTGCAAGCCAATCATAAGGACAATGTTCATTGCCTGACCCTATTGGCCTAATGGGACATGTCATAACATTTTCACATCTGCAAATAAATATTAATTTTATATTAAAAATGAATTGTTTTATGGAGAGTGACGTGAAAAATCATATATATGTTATATATATATTATAAGATTTAAATAAAATTGCATATGATATAGTATATGTTTGCTCTCTTTGTAAAGAAATAATTTATTTCTCTATGTTGCATATAGACTTAAATCAGGAGACTCAGTTAGTGACCTTTTATATCTAAGCCCAAAAGACCCAGAAGAAAGATGTAGGATAACGTTGAAGTATCCTGCAACTATTAATAACAATTAATAAACTATAAATTATTATCTATTAATATATATTAATAATAATATACACATATACACATATTATATTAAAATATTTGATATATTGTATAATAATATATTATACAATAATATATAATATGTTCTGTATAATTAATAATATATTATATAAACATAATACAACACTAATAATTAAATAATATAGTTATATAATTAACTATACAATATTAATAAAATATCTAAAGTTTTTAATAGTACCAATTTGTTTACCATATGCATTTGAAAAGGTACAGAAGTTAAACCTCTATCACGCTTAGAACTGGGCTTATGTGAGTCCTAATTCCTTTCGTATTGTCTATTACCATTATAATAATGATAGTATAATATTTTAAACAGAATACACTAAGAAGTTATTACATCCTTGTAAAGTCTGGATATTTATTTCTAACAATAACACCAGAAAATTAAAATGATACTCTACCCGAAATTTCATAGTTTCTCATTGAATGCAAAAATATCGGTTATACCGAATGCATGTGCGTTGTTTATGGTTAAGACATCATAACCCATTAATTTCTGCAAATATTTCTAGTAAAAGCAGGGCATATGTTGGACATTAACGATTAAAGAGCAACCCTGACAATCGGATGTTGTCAACTCAATGCAATTTTTCCGGTGAAAAAATAATACTTGATTTCATTGTCCAAGTATGACCCGTGTTCTGTATATGAAGATTTTAGTAATCAATTTCTTCTCAATAATCTAATAATCATTTATATAAATTTCGGCATAGAAGTTTGAAACCATATTGCCATATATTGGAAAACGCACAAAATAATAGTTTGGTTCATATTCCAAATAATACCCACATTCAGTATTTTTTGACATAATATGATACCAAGATTATACGATCAAACTTATTTTGAAATTTTCCACTTACAGACACTTCGTGCTAAAGAATTTTTCTACAATTGTATGTAATCTGATCTCTAAACTCTATTGCACTCTATTTAGTTCAAGTTATAGCAAATTCGAGTATAGAAATTCGAGTTATGGAAGTTTAACTGTTCTTCTTATGCTATTATCCATAATCCAGATCTAAAATTTTTAGCAAAATCTTCATTCCGATCAAAGTTGGTCTGGGACTTATTATTAACTTATTATGTGAATGGGAGAAACAACATCTACTTGATCACTGGAGAGCCCAAACAGGCATACGACAGTCAAGAATACTCATTGATCCTGAACACTTCAAACTTGATGGTATTCTTGGCCTTAGCAGAAACGACATTAAAATCTACACTGAACTTCTTACAAGATACTGTAGACTTAATTATCACATGTAGATTATAGGTGCGGTAGAAAGTGACTCCTGTCGACTTTGTCATGAGGAGAAGAAAACATCAGAACATATTCTATGCAACTGCCTAGCGGCGACAAGACGTAGACTCGATTACCTTGGAAGCAGGATTATAGTCCCAAATAAAATAGCTAGAATTAAGCCCACACCGTTTACAAGATTTATAAATAGTCTAGAATTGTTTTAGTTGGAACTTTAGGTGCACAATAGATCTTTTAGGACGTGGTGAATTCATAGCCTATTATTTAATAATAATAACAAAAACTTCGATTAAGAGGTCTGTTTCAATGTGTTCAATTGTCAAATATACTTCTTTTCTTTATTCAAATATCAACGTAGTCAGTATTTGTAGATATAACATGACACTTAGAAATCTGAAGTTACTTTCCATGACGTTTCTTCTCGATAATCTAGCATGCCTTACTTATTATTATTATTGAGTAAGGGATCGTGCACTGCGACCTAAAAGATCTATTGTGCCCCTTTGTCGGGTTAGAGTATTTCTCCAAGTCCGATTTCTTTAATGAAAGACAGTATGGATCCTATCTTCCCCAGTCTTGAATGCCTTACTGAGTATAATACAAATTTCTGCTAAAAAGTCTGTTACCAAATCTTCAGTAAAAGAACTTGGGAATACTTTGTTTTATTCCCTGTTCTTCATACTTCTATATATAGAATGTTACTCAGTAATCTAAAGATATTTTCCGTGTACTTTTTTCTTGATAATCTAGTAAGTGACTCAAACTTCTGCTAGAAAGTCTATTACAATATTTCTGCTAATTCATATTCATTTTGCAGGAAGAAGAATAGAATATTTGGTTTCATCTCCCAAGTGTCACTCGTATTCAGTACTTACGGATATAATATGTTGATAAAAAACCTGAAAAACTTACGCTTAAATTTTTTTAAAAATTCTTTCAGCTCACAATATCTCAAATAAAGCTTTTTATATCAAGATTTTACCACAAAATTACATATCCCTTCCAATATTTATTTTATGGTATATCATTACATTTTCAATATAAAAATTGTTAAAACAATTTTGGCATTTGCATAAATTGGCCACAATGTATTCGTTCTAATTTGTGTTAATCAACTCGAGATTAACATCAAAGCTGCTACCACAAAATATAAAAAGTTTTGCAAATAAAAATTTGAAGAAAAGGGTTAACTCCATAAACCCCAACACCAAGCCATCGCAGCGTTACAAATTGCACCGAAACCAGTAATGGAACATTTTCCACAGACCAAATTACGGAATTAAGCTAAAAAAAAGCATTTTAATCGATTTCAGCTTTTCGGATTTCGTTTGGCAATGGCGCCGTCTGATTTGCGAAGTTGATACACAATCGCTGCCGTAAAGGACGAAAGGACAATCTACAGCTCGTTGACTGCCTTATAAAAAGCGTTTTCATTTTCATTCTTGTTGTACTAAAATTTTATGTTGCTTAACTTGTTAATGATAATTACTGGTTTGGTAATGCTGATGATGACGTAAATGCCGATGATGTGGTTAAGTCTACCAAATTTAAATAATTGATGAGCTTGCCAGCGCCAATGTTACGAATTCATCGCCATTTCCAATTAAGTTTTTCTTGTTGGGAATAGTGAAAAATATCAGAAAAAGAGAAGAAATTCCCATATTTTTGCTAATAATATCCTACTTAAATTGCTTATAATTAAAGGAGAAAATAGTATATTCAATTATGATTTATTATGTTCAAATTTATATGTTCGCTCACTAACGATTCATTATTAACGCAATCATTTTTCATTCACTCGGCTCGGTCTTCGCTTTCCTAATTTATTTTATTAATGCTTTTAATATCTCTGCAGAGTTCTAAGTTAATTTTATGTTTTTAAGTGCTTTTTATGATTCAGTTTTTGGTCCTTAAAACACAGTCCTTTTTTTCACTAATACTGACAGTAGTTAGCTTATTCTGTTGCTTCCCACAGCTATTAAGCTTGCTTCAGTTCTATACTATATATCTCTAAAATACTGAACGAATTAAGACAAATTAGTGTATTTGCTTTTATGTAGTTCAACCAGAGCTGCAAAGGCATTTATATCCGTTTCCGTTTGTGTTTCATATTAAATAAGCATTTATTTTTATAGTTATTGTACTTTTTACGATGTTCATTGAACCTTAAAGGTAAAAAATTTAAATTAAAAACATAAAAATGAAATGAATGAAGCTTATCTAAAACAAAACTACGACAGAAAAATACTAAAAATACTACAAAACAGAATGTAAGAGATAGGTTGAGGTGAAATGTTTATCGCAGATATAAAAATCGTAAAATTAAAGCAAATTAAAGAAATTAGGAGGAGTTGGTTATACCGATTTCTCTGTGACGGTAAAAGTTTTTATTATGTGAGGTGAATTACATAAAAGGGCACCTAATTAAACCACAATATCTAAGAATGCTTTATTCATTTTATATGAACATAAATTTTCTTGAACCAATAGAGTAGTAAATTGAGACAGAATTAAATTTTTCAAATTCATTTTAAAGTTTGCACTACCAATAACTACCACGTATAGCTATGACTAGGTTGATAAAGAACTTCCACACTGCGATAATATATATCTGTAGAGTTCCATTCAACACAGAAAGAAAAAGTTTCTGTTTCATTTCGATAAAGTACTTCCATACTGCCGCACTGTGTAAGTTTTCATTACCAACAGTTTCAAGTATAGCTATGAATAGGTTGATAAATAAGTCTGCGGTAATATATATCTGTAGAATTCCCTTCAACACAGAAAGAAAAAGTTTCGGGAGTTGGCTCATAAAGTACTTCTACATTTCACGAATGTTTATGTTTTCATTACCAACATTTTTAAAAATAGCTATTAGTAGGTTGATAAAGAAATCCCACACTGCGGTAATATATATTTGAAGAATTCCCTTCAATCCCCTTTAACTTATAAAGAAAAAGCTTCTGCAATAGGTCGATAAAGTACTTTTCTTTCACTCATAAAGAAAAAGTTTCTTGAATTTGTACAATCTTCTTCAGCTAATAAAAAAAAGGTTTTTTTAATTAGATTGATGAAATACATTCACATTGTACTAATACATATCTGAAGAATCGCCTTTAAATCCTGAAGAAAAAGTTTCTTGACTAAGTTGTTGAAGAACTTCCACACTCCATGAATATATGTATGTAGAATCATTTTCAGCTCATAAAGAAGAACTTTCTTGGGGAACTTAACGATTTCTTATATATTAATACTAACCCTATTCTGCAATTTATTCCACAGCAATCGGGTTTACAACTCGAAGCCACTTAAATCCAGTGTGGAACGTCATTCGTAATCCATTGTTAGTTGGCGCGTGCTTTGTATGATTATATAGAATCTTATTGAAGGATTATACCTCTTT